TTATTTGACTTGAATTATGACTAGAAGAAGCTGAATGAAATTACAAACTATGTAGTGTGTTCGACAACTCATGTATGAACGATAACTTTAATAAATATTTTACTCGGTAAAAAATACTGTATTTCTCTGCATAACAACAAAATAATTTCACAATGTCGAAAACGGAAAGTCTTTATCGTAGTGTTGTTGGTAATAGTTGGAAATGATACATCATCCACGTGAATCTGCTCATATTTTCAACAGCTGTATTTATCTAACTTCGCAATCGCTAAGTTTCCTTGATGGTCCACGAGCTCTTTTCCTTGTTTCACGTCATCATGTTCACAAAATCGCAGACAATTATTTGAAATGACAAATTTTCCGACATTAGCATATAATTTTCCTTGAGTTTACGAATTAGAGCTCCCATAAGTCGATATTCATCGCTTTCCCACATGCACATTATCGTCCTTTGCTGCTAACTTTTATTGCACTCTTGTTTGTAATATTTATATGTTAGTTTTTTTGTCTTTCTAAACATCGAGTTTTACGTTTGAATTTGAGTGCTAGTTTATCCACTTTTACAGTGATCAATGTTGCGTTCGAGTTGATTTATTAGTAATTACAAGCCTGATTTACATTTTCTTGCCTTAAATATAAGTGCGTTGGTAAATAGCCTAGAGGCTGGTAAGACTGTGTCACAGCGTGGCTATTTATTTCCAACGCGCGTGGTCGGCGCCTATGATTGCGTTTTTTTTTTTTCTTTATTCTCGAAATCTATCACTGGCAGCGTTTGTTTTGTCATGTCTCACAACTGAAAGTCCAAGTTGACTTTGTTTTGGCTGTAATATACATGTAGGACACTTGTTTCGCTGATTACAGATTTCTGTTTATATCTGTATTTAGTGAAACGAACCAGTTACTAATTGAAATATTGTTATTTTCGGCAAATAGTTTGTAAATATTGTGCATATAAAACCAAACCCATTTTCTCTGATTGCAATTATTTTTTTTTATTATGTTTGTCATACCGTTTCGTTTCGTTTCGTTTCTTCGATTACAATAAGCCGTATTTTTGATGACTTTCAAGTAACATGTGGAATGTCTGGAAAAGATCTGGAAAGACCTGGAAAAGAGCACAAGGAAATATTATAGCATTATGGAGAGTAATGAATTTGATTGCGAATGGTAAACATTAGATCAGAAGATATTTTTTGTAAGCATGGCATCGGATATGCCACAGAGATATACTATACCGAGTTTGTCAAAAATATGATGAAGAGAAATGTTACCAATTTATACCATCGTCATTTAACAAACGTACTGTGTTGGTTGGGCACCACGAGAATATGGGACAAGGCCATGTTATAGTCACTATTAGAGCGAGCTACTATTTGATGACGTAAAGCAGCACATAAATACATGGAAAAATCCAGCTGGTGTAAAGACCATTTGAATGGACGGCAATGGATTTTCTATCACTTGAAGAAACAAACAGAGTTAAGAATGTGTTGTTATCACTGACTTATTTTACCAAATTTGCCACGACGATACCAATAACAAACCAGTCCGAGGAAAAAGAGATTGTCAATAGATAGATAGAAAGAACACCTGCATCAAGCAAAGCTTGCCTGTTCAAGATAATAAATATCAATATCTGTTAAAGATGTACCTTGATGAAGGTTGCAACGAACAGAAAGACGTGATTCAAAAATCTAGCCAGAAAGGGAGTGCAAAACCTAATCTGAGAAGAAAATAATAATTAAGTTGACGTTAAAGTTCTTCAGAGAATATCCGATGACCGAGACTGAGGCAGGGGAGTAATTGGCTCTACCGTAGATAAATAACAGTCTAGCATTTACACCTAGCGATAGGAAAAAAAGTTGACAGTGACAGACAAAACCTTGAGTTCAAATGATTCCCATGGCGAAGAGCTAGTCACATGATGAGTGTATGGTCGAAACTGTCAAGTTGGGTAATCACATAACAATACTGCTATACAGATTTATGAGCTTGATAACCAAAAGAGAGCTACAGGACATTATGTTACAATCTGATGATTCAAGTTCAGACACTTCAGAAAACGAATTGAACAGAAATTGTCGGCTGATTCTTAGAAAATTTTGAAGTATTTAAAACCCACCAAATGGATATGATGGAAGGTCGAGATGTTAGTGGCAAGGATTTATATATATGATCTTTATTTACAAGTTCAAGTCCATCGGCCCATAAAAGTATATATATAAATATTCTTAAATTACAAAAAAATCAAGGATTTGTGGGACCACCAAGTTTGAAGATAAATAGTACCTTGTTAATTTATGAGAATGGTAGTTGGTAGATTAGGGATAGGGGTATGGCCACATGGTCATACTTTTGGAAGGCACATGACGCAACCACCCCAACAGTTGTTTTTAGCTCAAGTCTTGAGGGGCCCCAGGGTACTTAGAGAATTGGGGGGGGGTTCACTTAGAGCCAAAGTTCAATTAATAGTAAATGGTACATATTTGATTCACTACGCTTGTCAGATTTTTAGATGTCATGGCATAGTTAGTACTGAGAAATAAGCGTTTATATTAACATGAACCATTTACCCTTTTGTTAAACTTATTTTGCCTTTTCAAGGCAATTGCTAGAGACTGCATTTGGGAGTAGACGACTTGTATGGCTGTATGGCTGTATGTTATGTATAGAAAGAAGACGAAAACTAATCAATGTATATATGGGGGCAAGGGAGGGGGTAGCTGGTACAGTTTTACGGGAAATAAAACGGGCTTTTACAATTTACAAGGAAAAAAATACGTTTTTACAGTTTACAGTGAAAATTGAATTTTGCAGTGAATTCTGTCATCTATTCGTTTTACAGTTTCGAAAATGTAATTTCCCTAGTTTATTTTTTACGACTTGTTTTTATTTGGATGTAAATTCTTGTACGTACCGAAAAAAATGACACATTTTTTACAGTGTACGAAAAAAATATTTGATTGATTACGCTGTAGCCTGTGATTACAGAATTACGTAATTTGTTTGTTTTTTCAATTTACGTTGTACGAACAAAAAAATATTGCAATTACGTTGAACGAAAATAAACCTTGCCCCCTCTATAGTACTAATTATTTGTAGACGTAATCAGAACAATAGATTGATCGACTGTCTATGAGCCAAGGATGAACAGGAAGGAAAATGAATAGAATAGTAGAGTAGTATTATGACTACTGTTGGAATTTAGCCAGATAACAGCCAGGAATCGAAGTGTGATTAATTGTCATGTTTCACAATTGAGACATGGGCGTTACGACCGGCGGAGAATTCTCCTGCTATAGGCAGCAGTTATCTAGTTTTGAGTACATTGCATTGTGGCTGAAACATCATTTCTGGATTCTGACAATACAGTATGCGTGCCAAAAATATTGTCTTATTGCCAGTGTGTTGCCGGCCACTAGATGTACAAATTGTAAGCTGCATTGCGATCTTAAGGACATTTCCCTTGCCCTTGGACGACATTATGTCTGTTATATTTATGGGAACGTGGAACAGAGATTTATTGTTTGCTTCGATTAACCTGGGGTTTTGGACACTGAGTTAGGGTGTTTAACAACATTTATGGAATACATTGCTGACCGGGATGCCCTGAGCCAACTATCCGACTGGGGTGATTACCATAGGTGATGGACAAATGGAGAACATTCTCTTAAGTTTAAATTAGATTTTATGTATACTTGTGACCTTGTATTTTGATAAGGATAGGTTTTTATTTTTACGCGATTACTTTTGCCTCACTACGGGAATTAATATCCTTATTCGGTTGGAGGTAAAGTACTACAATCATTTTTTTGGTATTGAGTATAGCATCTTAGTTTAGTCCTTGTGTTTACATTTTTTTTTATAATGAGACATGAACTGAATTTGAAGTTGCTTCATGTGTTCGTCACACTGCAACATTGCGCTGTGACATCCACATTTTGCAAACTTTGTGGAGTGTGAAAGAGCTTTAATCGACAGATATTCACGTCCTACAGAGTTTTCGTATTTTAGGGTCAAAGCATTTGTAACCTTTATGTATTTTATTATTTCAAACGACGGGAATTGTATATGTAAATGTTAGACCCGATCTTTGGGATTTCTGTTCGATCATATGTCCCTAGTGATTTAGCGCCAAAGACGAACCGAGTGTCGCAATGCATGCTGGACCACGCTATGAAGAAAGAAGGCAAAACGCTTTTGGGGTCGAAGCGAGCGAATCTGTGGTACGACGATGAATCCAGCCGTGAGTGAAACAAATCGAATCCATGAATCGCAGCGGCCAAATGGAAATTTCTCACGCCGTTTGGCCTGAATTTAGAATTGATCAGATTTAGCGTCTCACTACGAACATTTCTGACTATCGAAAAGAATTGTATCATTTTTTGTTCTTTATAAAATGATTATACATATTTGATATAAAATTGGTCATATTTGTTGAATTTCGTTTACGGTTGGAATTGGCGAATGATTGTTTTCATTTTAACTTTAATTGGTGACTTCACAGTTGGTATTGTTCACGGTTGAATTAGTATTGGTCGTATTCCGTCTAGCTACGGTCAGACGTGGTTCTGATATGGTCAAATTTAGTATGATATCGGTCATATTTAGCTTAGGATTTGTATCAAACCCAGTACGGGTACTATGTCAAGTTAAACAGGAAACCTATATTAATAGTGCAATAAATGAAGCGTTGCGGATCTACTAGCTTTACAGGTTCAAAGTGCTTATTTTTATTTCCTCCAACTCTTTTTCTTCTGTGTAAGCGTTTTTTGATACCGTTATGTCCAGCTACATTTGCTATAACACTATCTGTTCCAATACAACGGTTTGATGTGTATTGTGAATCAATTTACTATATTACTATTTACCCACAAGTCTCATAAAAATATGCTCATTATTTTCGAGTTTATTTTTTTTTAATTCAAGTACACACATATAATCATGTTTGTTTGTTGTTGATTTGCTAAAGACACTATAACTACTACATATACTACTTACTACTTAGAACCCTTAGCACCCTGGCTAGCACATGGGGCTGTCGCTAGAGTCCTCTGTTTTGCAGTCGCCCAGGTGAAGCCTAGGTCTCGAAGCTCGTTTTCTGATGAACGTCTCCAGGTCTTCTTGGGTCGTCCTCGTCTCCTCTTTCCTTGGGGCTTCCAGGTAAGGGCCATTCTGGGGAGGGCATTTTTAGCACATGTCCTAACCAGCGCCATCTCCTCTCTAACAACTTCTGAAAGTCTTGTCTGCTCAGTCCTTTCCAACAAGTCCATATTACTGATGGTGTTTGGCCAATATACACCTTCAATCCGCCTCAGAAACTTTGTTTGGAAGGTGTCCAATTTCTTGGAGATCCTCTGGGTCATCTTCCAAGACTCGCATCCATAAAGCAGCACACTGAAGAACCGTAGCTTAGTGATGTGGCTCAGCTTTCTGAACCTCCAGACACTCCAGAGCATTCCAAATACTTTGTTAGCCTTGGACACCTTCGCATCGACGTCTACCTCACTGTCTCCATCAACGGACATCTTGCTGCCCAAGTAGATGAACTCAAATACCTCTTCCATGGGCTGGTTGTTGACGGTGAGTGGCTGGGTGTTTCGTCTTTGGGATGTTGATTCAGAGTCCCAACTTTCCTGTGTGAACCTGTTTGCCTTCTCATGCTGGTCAATGTGTCGGCAGGCGAGAAGTCCCACATCATTGGCAAAGTCAAGGTCCTCTGGCATTGATGTTAGCGTCCATTGGACTCCAGTTCTCTGCCCATCTCAAAATATTTATAGTATAGAGAAACAATTAATCGAGTTAGAATCAGTCTTTACCTAGATGTTAGTTTTCTGGGATATTATCTATATGCATAATATATGCATATTATACGCATATTCAAAGGTTTGAATTATAATGTTGTGTCTACGAGCCAGTATTATATAATATCTCAAAATATTTATAGTATACAGAAACAATTCATCGAGTTAG